CGGGGGCGCCGCGGAGCGGGCCGGGACCGCTCACCCCACCTGCGCGTCCTCAGCTCCGGCTTCCCGGGTCAGAGGCTGTACCCTGCCCGGCGGTGGCAGGGACGGTGGCGACTTGGAGTGGACAAATTGCTTTGTGGTGGCGCGCGCGCGCGTGTGTGTGTGTGTGCGCGCGTGTTTGTCCCTTCCTGCGTGATAGCACTCTGCACTACTCAGGGCGTTGTTGATTCACCTGAGCGGAAAGTGAGCTCTGAACTGAAACGGCAGGTGGCTCCAGGCCCCACTTCCTTTGGCTCGGGTCCCGGGGACTGGAGCACAAGGTGCCAGCCCGGGGAAGGGGTGCGGCAAGGGTGACGGGGGATTTGTGAATGGTGCCTCTGCGTGTGTAGGCTGGGGCTTGCTGATGCAAGGGAGGAGGTATCCAGAGTGAGAAGAAAGGCTATTTATGGCAAAGAGTTGTGAAATTTCTCGGGGGTTTCCTTCAGTGTATCCTGAGCCTTTCGCGCTTTCTCTTTCCTCTGTCTCAGAAGTAGAAGCAAATTTGCTTGTTTCCTCCTTCCCGTAGGACGGCTAATATAAAATGAAGAAGTGAGAAAATCACTCCCGTTTTCGCAGGTAGAAAATAATGGTTCTTAGAAGTCACAGATGTCTTGCTCTGAAATGTTTTTATGTTCTTGTCCTCTCACGGTTTCAGGCACTCAGTCGGACCCCCGCCCCCCCGCCCCCCGTTTAATTTCAGCAAATAGCTCACATTTCGGAAGTTTTTGCAGTAGAATAGTTTCTGAAATGTAAGGCACATCTTCCATTCTCCTCTCCCCCCAAAACCATGAAATAGAATGTACGCACGTTTTGCATAAATCTGATTTCATTAAGAGCCTTGGGGAGGACTGAAAGCAAGTCCCCAAGGGAGTTATACCTGTTAGTACTGAGTCTAAAAAGTAGTTTTCAAGGGAAGACCTAGAAAACTGTTTCTCTAGGCTATGTAATTAGTTTTGGCTTCTCTGTTTGCTTTATGACAGGTACAAATTCCAGACATAACTTCAAGCTTACAGATGACTTGGAACAATGTTTAACACAGGACTTTAGTAAATTTACGTTTGTCCTTAAAAGTAGTAACCTATGCTTTTATAGAATTGCTGACTGGATTGTGATATTAGGACAGTGCCCTTAATTTAATTTTAGGCAGAGATGTTTCTAAATGCTTGCCAAACAATGTTTTTACAGCGTTGAAATTCCATATTGTAATCACCTCTTCAAAAATTTCACAAAGAAAGAGAAGTAAATAGGTCGACCTATTGTTAGACTGATTGTTTTCATTTGATTTAACTAAAGAATTTGATTAAAAATATCAACTATTTATTTTCCTCCTAGAATGAAGGTCGTTTTCTTTAAAGATTTGATATTTTGATTTGGTTAGGTTCCTGTTAGTTTAAAATACATTTTCAACACTGAAGCATCTACACTTTTATATAGTAAGTTAGAACTTAGATGGAAAAATCCTATTTTGAGAGAGCATATTGTAACTATTTCAAACCATTGGAGCATAGAGATAACTAGGAATGTAGTGTAATTGTTGAACTGCATTATTGCAATCATTGAAAGTCATATTTATGAGTATTTTGTTCTTGACACTGTCAGAGAACCAGCAATTGCTTTTAAATCTTAAAAGTTATTTATACTAACTTAATTTGCATCACACTCAGGAAGTAGAAAAGTGAAACATTTATTCTGTTTTCACAGTAAGTTATTCAACATTTTATGGCATTTTATTACGCATTATAATACTCATTTGAAAGAGCCTGTCATGTGTAAGTACTGTCAGGGCATTGTGGAGAAGTTCAAGGGCTTCCTCATTCCCTGTCCATTAAAAACTATTGTCCACTTGGCAGAAATCTGATCCTGATGCTTGAACATAGAGTTAACAACCCATGACAATAAGATGAGGACTATAGGAGTTCAGAGTATGACAATAACATGTCATACTGGATTTTGTCTGAAAGGGCTTCAAAGAGTAAGTAAGACTTGCTTGGTCTTGATTTTAAAGAAGTAGGATTAGTAGACTGTGGCTGAGAAGAGATTGAAGGTCTAACGTGGAAGTCTCTTGGAATTATAGGAAAAAAATGACATAAGGGAGGATAAATTTATTTTGAAATAGGTTTAGATAGTACTAGATATTCTGGTGCGAAGGGTAGGGTGCCTGTGTTTTTGATGTACCACATTGTGTAAATTCAAAGCTTGGACTTCATTGTCAGTATTCCTGCACCTTAGTAGACAAATCTTTGGTAAACAGTATATGTTTGTACTACTCCAATAGAGTCCTTATTTATTTTTATTTATTTATTTATTTATGTATTTATTTACTTTTGTACCGGAGATCGAACTCAGGTCCTTGCGCTTGCAAGGCAGGTGGCAGAACCACTGAGCTAAATCCTCGGCCCTCAATAGAGTACTTACAGAGGAAACACAACTGTTAAATATTTAACTATGTACACCTCATACTGAAGTGTTGAGCTGTCTATTGATTTCAAGGTTGTGTTTATACAACCTCTTTATAGTGGAGTGTTTAGAGTACTTGCTTAACCAAACTGCCTTAGGTTACCTCAGAAGTGTGATGCTGTGTAAAACAATAATATTAGTGAGCATTCATTGAATGAGTAACGTGTTACTGTCTTAGAAATGTGTTACCCAGTGAATAACACTTTTCTATATTATTTTTATTTTGAAGTTGCTACATTTATTAGATCTATTACATTAGCTTTTCTTTGACTTTATTATGTGCATCCACATAATAGTCCACCTTATATTATTTGACATGAATATAGAGCTATGATACTGGGCTTGTGAGAATTTTTTTTTAGGATTGTAGGAACAATTTAAAAAATCTTTTGGCTGTCTTCTGGGAATCAATAACAGGAGCGTGACCTGTCTCTATTCTAAACATAGTCATTTTTCTTTGGATATGTACTTGCTGATTTTAGACAAACACGAAACTGTTTAAAGTGCATTTTTAATATTTTAAGAACATAAGGGGAAATACTAGCACTCACTTTGATCCTATCTATTTAATATGACAGCCCATAAGTATGTTTTGGTGACTGTAAAGAAATTGTACAAACATTAGATATAACTTTCAATAGCAAAATGGAATTACTTTCATATTAGTTGAATTAAAAGATTTTCACATATATTTTGTTGACAGCGCATAGATAAGAGTTATTGCAAAAGTGAAAGCCTCTTGAATCACTGATTTCATATTCATGCAAGAATGGAATGATTTCTAACATAGCCAAAGTATACTGTTAATTGGTCCCTTTTGAGTTTGGTTTTGGTTCTTTTTTTTTTTTTTTTGGTGCCGGGGATTGAACTCAGGACCCTGCGCTTGCAAAGCAGGCGGTGGAACCACTGAGCTAAATCCCCAGCCCTGAGTTTGGTTTTGGATGATATGTCACAGGGATATGATTTTGATAATGTAATCTTGCCCTACAGTATGACTGACAGTTTCTCCTTGATTTCCCTATTGGATAGTGACAAAATTTGCATTCCACTGAGGACATAGGCTTCTATCAGCAATGTTATCTTCACTACACAAGAGTGTCAGTTCACAGTAAACATGAAGTCAGGGGTGGGAGAAGCAGTAGGAAAAGATGGTGAGATTGAGGAAGAAACACTAACAAAAGAAATATATTTCACTATGAAACTTAACATAAATGTAAAATGTGAAGCTGACCATCCTAAACTGAAATTGATACAATACCAAGACAGTCTTATCAATCCTGTTTTGAGCAATCATATTGCATTGTAACTGTGTCTAGAAAGCTAAATTAAAAGAAAAAAAGATGGTGGTGGGAAATGTTTATGAGAGTCTTCGATAGGATATTAAAAATTGTTCAGATTTCTAGTTAGATAATTGACAAAGAAGTTGATCAGCCAAATTCCTTAAGACATGACCTTTGGTTTTGTTTATTTACACTGAACTCACAATTTTAAAATTTTAATTCAACTGATTTAACTTTTTCAATAGGTTCTGATCCTAAATAAAATCCAAAGGTCTTTTATAAGGAAACATCTTTCTAATATCTAACTCCTAACCTAGAGCAGTTGTTCTCAAAATATGTTGCCCGAGTAGCAACAGCAACACCTGTTAATTTTTTTAAATGGATCTGGAGCCTTACCACAGAGTAAGTAAATCAGAAACTTTTTAGGGTCTCCTGTGTAATTGTTACAAAAGTTTGACAGATGCTGACATTGTGTACTGTAGAATGAAATTTAAGGTTTTGTCTTGTCTGTGTTTTGTATTTAAATACTTTGCTCAACTGGTAGTAAACTTAGATTTAATGATTTAGCCTTGGAAAATACATTTTCATCAAGATATTTTCGTCTTAACTATATTTCCTTGAAAACTGGGCTCCTACCTCTGAAAGCACTTCATTTCCTGAGCCCTTTTGTCTGCCAGCAGACTCCTGAAAATATAACCAGTTTCCTGGCTCTG